CCCCAAAACCCCAAAACCCCAAAACCCCAAGTCCCCAAAATCTCTCATTTATCCCCTTCTCCTTGCCTTTCCAGACCTTCTCCCTACTCACACTACCCTAAAAACCTCTTTTTCATCTTCAGAACTATCGCTATCATCAGCATCGAAAAATCTCAGCTTCATTCTCTCTGAAATCCTTCTTTCCCTCACGAGCCAATCTGCTATCACAAAAGTGTTCTCTTCTACTGTCTCTCCAAAGTGGTTCAGCAGGTCTATAATGTGCGTGCAGGCCAGTCCAGTCTGGGCTGGGCCTGGGCAAGAACAGGTTAAAGTTCCGTTGGAGTACTTCAGAGTTCGGATAAGAGAGCTTTGGACATTGGGTGATGAGTGGATTTGGGCGATGAGAGGATCACGAGGTAGGGATCCTGGGTTAAGAGGGAGGGGTGCTTGGGAAGCGGAGAGGTAGAGAGAGGATTTTTGGACGGTGATTGTGGTGGAAAGATGGGTAAGAGTGAGGATATGAGGAAGGGAAGTGTAGTTTTGGGTCTGGTTTGGGATGTAGTGGAGGTAAGTGTTAGGGCTAATTTTTTCGATTTTTGGAGGGGATGGGGAGGGAGATGGGAGTTTAGATGCAATGTAAGAGGAGAAGGGCAAATTTTTGTCTTCTAGTTCTTTTGTGCTCCTTTGGTATCATTTTCTATACCTCTCACTTTGGAAAAATAAAAACTCCATGAATCCATACAAGTTCTTCTCAGCTATGTACAAACTTCTCTCAAATGCTCGACAAATATTTCTATCTTCATATACACTCTCAATGCCTCCTAAATATCCTCAGATAGGGTCATCTGTATCACCTCCTTGCCAGAGCCATCCTTTTAGGACTCTATAAACCTTTAAAATTTCTTCTCTTTCGTGATAAATCTCCTCAATAATTTCTTTGCCTTGCCCTTCTTCCAATACGTTGTAGATACCATTTAGGATATCATAAAATTGGTCTAGTTCCCCTGAAAAGGCTAGTTTTAGCTTCTTGATGACAGTTTGAGTAATGTCAGATCCTAGAAGACCAACTAGCCTCCTGCTAGTAGTTGCTAGTACATGATCTAGACAGACTTGGTGGCCGGGGTCCCCCAGCTCTAAGTCTAGATCAAATACTTGTCTCACTGCAGAAGTCACATTCTTATTCAAATCACTGAGCACTTTTGTTGGCTCTTCAAATCCCATTTCAAGGTACATAGAGAGCAATGTCTTTATTCGGTCACTATTGGCGGATAAGCTGATTCCTAAAAATGTTGGCACTATTTTCCCGAACTCATCCTTTGCCAGGATCAGGAAAATGAACCAAGAATTTGTGAATTCTGGTAAATTCTCTGTATTTATAGCAATTGAGTGAGATAGCCGCGACCTAAGGGAAGGGTTTACAAGAGCTATTCCTGCAACTCGTTTATTCTTCATTGCTTTAAAGCTGATATTTGGATACTTCTCACTGTTTTTAGCTAGTCCACGGCATAGGTCTTCTATCAACTCTGATTTCCTGACTGTTCATTTATGAAACTTTGGCAATTTGAATAAATTCTGAACTTGATCTAGTGTAAAAGCAATATCAGGAAACTGGTTTGATAGTTTTGCACAAATATTACCAATCTCATACCCAAGAAAGGTATAATATTTCATCGCAATTGGGATCAGCTTAGGATGTAGAAAATTCCCAAGAGTTGAGGCCATCATTGACAATTTCTCCTTCACTTTAGTCAGTATCCTTTTCTCATCTTTGTAAGGCCTATTTCAGACAGAATGGTTATGCTTGTTCTTCACTTTAGAAATCTTCAAAGTCCCATCTGTCTGTTTGCGACAAGTTATGGTGAAGGGACACCCTGTCAGGCTCAATATATAGCCCAATGAGAGATGTTCCCTCTGTTTAGCTTTATATTCCTCTCCTCGTTTACAAATAAACTTAATGTAATTAGGGTAATGAGGCGCCTCACATATTTCAAAACCTGCTGCTTTTGAGTAATTGTCAAGTCTTTTCAGTAAAATATCTAAACTGTACGGTTCATCATTGACGTAGGGAAGCTCAGCATTCTCTTTAATATAAATAGGTCCTTCTATCACCTTTCTCTCACTTTTTTGGAAGGTGATAATTTCATTAACTTTTTTAGAGATCTTCCGAATCTGAGCATTTCTTGAACAAACTTTTGAGTCCTTCTTACCCCTTGGTTTTGAAGAAGGAGGAATGTTCTCAGAGAGCTTAATCGACTCTGACTCTCCAGTATTGTAGATACTCTGGACATAGAATTCATAAATCTCAGCACTTTGGTACACAGGGTCAAGATCGTATTTCTCAGAGCTCATTTCGATAATTTCCTTCTCTTCAGCAGTAAATTTTGGGGGTTCTTGAGGAGACTCTGGGACATTTTTAGCATTTCTTTTGCTATCTCTCTTCATAAATTCTGAGTCCCCTTTCCGTTTATTATGCTGAGCCTCCTTCTTCATTTTGTACTGCATCTTCTTGGTCCTCTTCTTTATTTGGATTTCTTTGTCAGAGTCTGAAGTATCACTCCCACTACTGGAAGTGTTGAGTTTCTTCTCAAGTAATTCTCTCTCAGAAATTTTTGATGTAGTGTAAATATTGCTAATATCTCTTAGATGACGGTGGCTCATCAAAAATAACCTTATTTTTGAAGAAATTTAGCAACTACCCAGAGCAAAATGTTTGAATTTGTAAATTTTCAATAAAAACTAAATTTAGCGGGGTTTTGGGGTTTTGGGGTTTTGGGGTTTTGGGG